TAATTTCACTTTTGGTAAAATGTCAGTATGTATTTTATGTTCTGGAACGTCCTATTAGGTCTAATATGGATCAACTCATTTGCTGTAAGCACACATTTCCCCCTCATTTACTCAAGAAAGGTAAGTGAGAAGTACGTGCCTCTCTTCAGTATTTCCTGACAAGTCCGCTCTATTGTTTGTTATTATTTCCAAACACAATGCGATAGCTGTACGGAAATTTACTGTGCGAAATATTTTAATCCCGAATGATACTCTTCGTTAACTGGTAAAACAACTTAATTTGAAAGGGAAGTTGAAGGGAATCGAATCAAATCACATTTTTGTGCTGGAGGCGGGTAATCACAAACGTCGTATGCTTTTCATGTTTGCTTCAGGGGAAAAATTGACTGTTCACAGCGTATGGTAACGACCATATTTTATTTCTTGGATATGTACTCCCTAAACACCATTCATTGTCTAGTCTGTGGACTATGCAAGAAAGGTTTGTTATCCACGGTCAAGTTAATCAACCGATGAATCGATCTCTTAATAAAGTGAAAATTTGGTTTGTGCCTCTTGCTTGATTTTTGCTGCACGAATAAACGGTTCATCCCCGTGATATATTGCCCGCAAGCAATTCAATTGGCGAGCTTGATCCCTAAGAAAGAAGCAGCATGGTCCGCGCTTTCTCTTTCTGTAATGTGTTATCGAGCTCATAAAAGCCAAGGATAACACTGCGAATTCAATTTATTCATTTGCGTTCTTAATGATCCATGAATACTGAGACTCTTCTGACTTTCAAAAGAAGCTAACAATATGCATAGAGTAACAAACTTGTCTTTAAAGAAAATAGGTAAAGTCCACGAAATCTCTAACTCTGGTTCACGCCGCCCAAAGCGCGGCGAACGTGAGAAGCGTTCACACCGAACAATGACACATAATTTCCAATGATTTCTAAAGGAAATGTCACGTACTACTCGACTTCGATGCAGAACTTCCGTTCTTTCCTTATAAACAAAATGCATCTATCACTTTCTAAATTTATTTTTATTTTGTAAAAACGTGGTGCGAAAGCAGATAAAGGTCTCTTTCCTTTAAATCACGTTTGGTGCTTCTTGTGTTTGAATGGAGCACAGATAAACGCTTAAAAAGAACGTGGAAAAAACTTTAATCGCTATATACACAACTACTCTCTTGCTAAACCTAACCTAACCAAGATAACGTGGACAACTTTACAGATATATTTATACTAGACTGCTAGCTACATAAAATTACGTAATTTCCAATCACCACAGTGCTGTGAAAAGGTTAGTTGAAAAGCCGCATGACAAAAGTAAAAAAATGACCTTCCGTATATTTTAAGGTAGAGATTCCACTCGGAATCACCATGTCCATGTCATGGGGAGCGGATAATGGACTTTAAAACTTCCGGTGTGAGCTAAAAATAATTACTTTGTCGAGCGCTGAAGCGCAACATTGTCATTTGGCACGTGCACCGAAAGCATATAAACCAGAGGAGTCGGACTCATCAGTTAATTTTTAGCAAGACTAGCACTACTGTTGAAGTCACTTTCGCTCCATCATGGGCAAATTCAAATCAGAACTCGAACAAGTTAAGAAATCAGACCAATCAAGGTGGGTAGAGTTTTTTAACTTTAGTTTGCTTGATATTATAGATGATTATGTTGTTGGTAAATGATAAAGTTTCCTACAGAGCACCCGTTTTTCTCCATGGAATATTGGATTTTCGAAGGTAGTGAATGTTTGTGCGAGGATTACTTTATTTCTTGCCGTTATTGCCCTGCACAAGGTGACATAAAAATAGCCACCACGCGATGTTTGAAGTCTCTGAGGCAGAAACTCAAAGAAAACAAATAACAAGTCGGCAGTATACGTTTTCCTTGCGGCGAATAATCGTTAAATAAAAAGGAATTCCTCCCACGAATTATTGCCAATGTAGAAATGTCCTTTACAGCATATTTCCCTCAACTTCGGCAATTGCCTACCATACTCATGTTGGTTTGTTCGTTTGGTTCTTGCATGTAAAGAAACCGAACACATATGTCGGAAAAGCGATTACTACTTTCCGTGTCCTTCCTTCTGATTGGATTGTTCCTATCTATCATCCAATCAGAGACTAGCCGATAGCGTGACAGTTGCAAGCAACCAGTATCAACGAAGATATGTCATCGAGAGGGAGAAAATACATTTTTGTACGTGTGAAATCTTAGAAAACGTGTAAGTTCGCCATTTTCGATTGAACAGGAAAATAACAAAAAATCATCGGAAAAAAAGGCCTTTATTTTTTGTACAAATCGTTTGTCTAAGAATATTCGGATAACTGCAACCTACGTCCATCAGCTGCATCTTACATACCTTAATCATGATCGTGATCATGATTTGGATCGCTTCAAGTTCCCACAATCAAAAACGGATTAAAACAATTATGCTTGCAAACTTAAAAATATAATATAGTTTCAAAGCCGACGTTTCGAGCGTTAGCCCTTCGTCAGAGCGAATGATTCGCTCTGACGAAGGGCTAACGCTCGAAACGTCGGCTTTGAAACTCTTTACGGTGGCCAATTTACATTATCAACTCAGTCCATAAAACCAAAATTACCTTGTTACTCTCACCGACGCAGCACTACAGTTTCTTTAGAAACTTACCCCCGCCCCCCTTAAATTCTAATACTTGAGGTAAACGTGACTCGAACGATGTTGCAACGTGACGGTCTTCTCTTCAGGTGTCAGTGATAGCAAATTCAGGATGGAATGAAAGTTTCGAGAACGAATAGTTCTGCTGTTATTTGATTAAAACAAAAACTACCAAGCGGTCAGTTTGTTGACGTTGCGATTCAAAAACGTGTTAGCTTCACTCGTGAATATAAGGAAGCTGACACCTTCGATGTTAAATCCTGGTTCATCTGTCACTTTTATCTGCTTGTTTATTTTGACAAAGGAAATAGTACGTGTGCGTGCGTGATGTTTCAAACTACACAACTTCCTGTTTTGCTGTTACTAATTAAAAATGTTCTAGAGAAAGCTTTTATTCGAGAAGGAAGTGGGAATATCTCGATGAACGCGATGTGCAGCAACAAAATATTCGGATGTATAGAAGGACCGAAAAAAGGATGACACAAAGCGATGAAAATAATTTAAGCAAAGGATTCGATGAGAGGGCGAACGTTGAAGAAGACTTTGATGATTTTAGGTATTTGTTTCGAGCGTTAGCCCTTTTTGAGAGCGAATGATTCGCTCTCACAAAGGGCTAACGCTCGAAACGTCGGCTTTGAAACTCTTTACGGTGGCCAATTTACATTATCAACTCAGTCTATAAAACCAAAATTACCTCGTTACTCTCACCGACGCAGCACTACAGTTTCTTTAGAAACTTACCCCGCCCCCTTAAATTCTAATACTCGAGGTAAACGTGACTCAAACGATTGTGCGACGTGACGTTCTTCCCTTCAGGTGTCAGTGATAATAAATTCAGGATGGAATGAAAGTTTCGAGAACGAATAGTTCTGCTATTATTTGATAAAAAAAAAAAAAGAAAACTACCAAGCGGTGAGTTTGTTTACGTTACGCGATTCAGAAACGTGTTGGCTTCACTCGTGAATATAAGGAAGTTGACACCTTCGATGTTAAATTCTGGTTTATCTGACACTTTTATCTGCTTGTTTGTTTTGGCAAAGGAAATAGTACGTGTGCGTACGTGATGTTTCAAACTACACAACAACCTGTTTTGCTATTACTAGTTAAAAATGTCCTAGAGAAAGCTTTTATTCGAGAAGGCAGTGGGAATATCTCGATGAACGCGATGTGCAGCAACAAAATATTCGGAGTTAGAGAAGAACCGAAAAAAGGATGACACAAAGCGAAGAAAATAATTTAAGCAAAGGATTCGATGAGAGGGCGAACGTTGAGGAAGACTTCGATGATTTTAGGTATTTGTACGGTAAAATTCTGGTAGTCAGAGGATTCAGAGCTCGATAGGGAACTGATCGAATAGTAATTCTTAATTTCGCCCGGAAACAATTCTCGTCTTTTCGGTCAAGGTTTACGTAATGATGAAGTATGATGGTTATAACAACACCAAGACAGCACCACAGTTTCTTTAGATACTTATCCCATCTAAGGTTTTGCCTCTCATTTTGGGTCGTACAGCGAACTCGAGGTACTTCTGCGACTAAAACTTTGAGGTAAAGCATCCAATAGTACATTGATTGATAAATTGCTGTCAACCGCTGATCAGACCCAAAGGGTGGCTGGCTCATGGCTATGCCATAAATAAGATTTACACGTGTCGTAAAAACTATGTAGCAAGCTGTGTGCATTATATGCTATTTGTCTTTCCATTTCTTTCTGTGGCAAGTTCATGGTATTCCTTGGATTTATTCTTTTTCTTTGTAATCCTTTGTCATCTGTAATACAGTGGTATTGTTTAATGCCAGAAAAAGAAATTTAAAAAATAGCAAAAAACACGATGAGAGAGCCGTTGGCTAGATCATGTCTTGCCATGTTTGATGCACCCTGCACAATCAGACCTGCTGAAAATCTTCAGGTCGAGGGGAAGAGCGTTCGAGGAAATGTTTCAAATATTTTGGGACTGGTAGACAACTCTCCTCCAGTAAATGCTTCAAACACCCATATCAAAATTCACTTCTCGATGTGTGTTTTTTTCTAGACCCTGCTATGCACGCCGGTTTCTTCCATGTCATCTGTGGTCCTCACTCTGCAAATGGTACTTGCGTTTTTTGGAACGCTTCTTTGGCTGGTATGGTACAGGGATCGCCAAACATCCGCTAATAACAATCCAGTTGTGTCTCATACTTGTCAGCGTCTGTTCTGTGGGCTTTGTTTGGTTCAATTCAGAAAACAGAACCGTAAAACTGTTCATCCCTCAAAACAGCAAGGCAATAGACGACTTGGAGACTGCCGAGAGATACTTCCGAGTCGACTTTCGAGAGGAAATCATCCTACTGGTGGCCTCTCCCAGTAATCCTAATCCTCTTTCCCCGATGTGTTTGAAACAGGCCTTCAGAGCTCACGATGCAGTCATGGAGCTGAAATCGTTTTCAGACCTCTGTGTCACGTTGTCGGGAAACAAATCCAGGTCAACAAACGGATGTGCGATGATTAATCCACTAGAATTTTTGCAGTTCAATGAAAGCAACTTGAACGGAAAGGACTTACATGATGTCCAACGGGAACTGAGCAAATCCTACAACGACACAAGTTTACTCATGCGTAATGGACGCCCATTCTGGTTGAATTTCAACCGAATGTTTGGCAAGGCCACTCGAAAACATGGAAGCATAACCGACGCCAAAGCTTTGCAAATGATTTATCTCCTTCGTGATCCGAGGGACGATGATGAGAGTGACAAGATTCTCAAATGGGAGAAGGCTTTCATTGACAAACTAGGCTCGCTAGTGGACAAACTTTCGTGCTTCGATGTCCATTATTCAAGTGAAAGGAGCCTGGATGATGCTATAAGTGCAAGTACCGGGTCTGATGTTAAACTGGTGTCAATCACATTCACCTGCATGATCTCTTTTGCTTGCTTCATGCTGGGCAAAGTACCTTAATCCGTTGACTGGTCATGCTTTACTTGCTAATGGAGGGGTCTTCGCAGTTGCCCTTGGGATTTTGTCTGGGCTCGGCCTTGGTATGTGGCTCCGTGTACCTTTTGTTAGTTTGGTGGGGTGCTACCTTTCTTGGTTCTTGGAATCGGCATCGATGACATGTTCATCATGGTCGACGAACTTGATCGGCAGCCACGTGACCTGTCGACGACCGGAAAGATCAAAGCGGTTATGAAGCATTCTGGTGCAACAGTTACTATGACAACTATGACTGATTTGGTTGCGTTTGCGGTCAGCACGTCTACCTCATTTCCCGCCATTAGGTAAGATACTTCAATTGATAGCCAGTGCTTCTCCATCTTGGGAAGATGAAGACAATAACATCATGTTTTAAGCAATGGCGTAATTGTTTAAAGGATCCGGATTTATCAAGTGACCTCTATTGATTTCTTTTAAAACCTCAACTGCAAACTATTGAAGTGAGATGTCGAGCTGTGACAGGAGCCATTGAATTGATTTTCTGATAAAAATGGTTACAGTTTCTTGGGATATCTTTTTTTTTCCCTTGTATGACTGAGCTGTAAGCAGAAATGGTGGCGTGAAATGTCACTTAATTGGCTTCCAAGTTCTAAAATTTCGTCAAATGTTGTAGAGTATTTCAGTGAAATCGTCTATATTAAAACTTAGTTACTTTCTTTTCTCAGGTATTTCTGTGTTTATGCTGCCTTGACAGTGACGCTCTCCTTCCTGATGGTTGTTACATTCTTTGTGGCCCTTATGACATACGACGTTAGACGAATTAAATCTGGCCGCCGAGATTTCCTCCCATTCTGCCTGGCACCACGGCCAAAAGAAGGTAAACCAGCATGGGATGAGCCTCTCCCCCAAACTTCAAATAAAGTTATGAAATACTGGGGCACATTATTGACCCTTCCAATTACAAAAGTTCTGGTTATACTCTTCTCTCTGTCACTGCTTGGTGCTGGGATATATGGAGTCACTCAGGTGGATGAGTCATTTGATAGACGTGTATTGGCCAGAGATGATTCCTACTTGAGGCAGTTTTTGACAGCTCAAGGAAAGTACTTTGAGCTGTCCATTGGAGTGAGTATCGTGCAGACTGGTGAGGTTGATTACCAATTGAGGTCCACGCAGAGCGACATTAAAGAATTAACGAACGTATTCAAGGAAAATGAATATTACAAGAACCAATCACTATCCTGGATGGATGCATTTTCCCAGTATGCTAAGAAGTCGAAGAGAAACATTACTGGCCCAGGTTTTCTACGAGAATTGAAAACATTCCTTCGTATTCCCGAGTTCTCGTATTTCACACAGGACGTGAAGTTATCCGAGGATGAGACCAAAATAGAAGCTTCTCGCGTAGTAGGCTATATGAAGGATTCGGGTAGCTCCACCTTCCAGAAAAACGCTATGCTCACACTCCGTGAAGACATATCAAAGAAGTCCAAACTGAATGCCTTTCCAATCACTCGATCCTTTATATTCTTTTGAACAATACGCAATTACGTCACACGAGACCCTGAGAAACCTGATAATCGCAGGCTTAACGGTGGTAATTGTCACAAGCCCCTTTTTGATGGATTTTACTGTGACGTTCGTGGTGGTGCTTAACTTCGCAGCGCTGGTTTGCGAGTTATTTGGTTTGATGGTAATCTGGGATGTGTCTCTGAACTCTGTTTCCATGATTAACCTGGTAATGGCCATCGGATTTGCAGTTGACTACAGTGCCCACATTGCCCATGCTTACATTACGTCAAGCAAAGTCACAGCCGATGAGCGAGTTGTGGATGCTCTGAGCACGTTGGGTGCAAGTGTTTTCATGGGAGGTACGTCAGAAGCTAAATTAATTGTTGTAAAACATGGCTGAGGAAAGTAAGCATTTATAAACATATTGACATTCTTGTGTTCCTGGAGTGTATAACAAGTTTAAAAGTCTGTGGCCCTGTTTCAGTGAGAGGTATTAGAAGAAAATTTGGATCTATTGAGTTGATAATGGAAATTGGCCATCATAAATAAATTATGGAGCTGATGTTTTGAGCCAATCTTCTCCAACGAAGGGCTAACGCTCAAAACATCAGCTCTATAATCTCTTTACAGTGTCTAATGGTCTTTATCAACTCAGTTGATAAAATCAAAATTTCTCGCATGTGCTGCGGTTGATTAAAAAATCCATCCTTAGTTTTATTCAAGGAATCACTTTAAGTGAGATTAATTTCTGCTTTTAGTAACTTCCATCACTTAAGGTTTTAGTGTTATGTACGTCGCAGCATCCGCTGATCTTTTCTTCTTAATATGTTTTAGGAGTCAGTACGTTCCTTGGTATGGTTGTACTTGCATTTGCTGCATCCGAGATATTCCGAATTTTCTTCAGAATGTTCTTTGGCATCGTCATGCTCGGGCTTCTTCATGGCTTGTGCATCATGCCTGTTTATCTGTCTTTGCTGTGCTGGAGACCCGCTCTTATAAGACGTCCCTCAGTAATGGACACAAGTGAAAAACTTGGAAACACAGACACGACAGATAATATTACCAACACCAATGGTTTCTTGGAAGCGGTGAAATCTTCCGGGGATACATCATTTCAGCCACCACAAAACTCAAACAAAAAAAAAAAGAAGCCGACATCTCACTCAATGAAAAACCAGCCAACCAGCAGATACAGACAAATGAAGCTGAGAAAGGAATTCAAAACATGGGGATCGATGAGGATGACGACGACGTTGAGACGGTGGAGGTAGAAGGCGACGTTAAAAAATGCAGCTAGACTAGAATTTGAAGTAGCGCTTTAACGAAATACCCAGATTTCAAATTTAATCAGCTCAAAAAAGAAAATAATAGCACCTTTTCAGAGATTAATAGTTTCATTTTACAAGCGAAGCTTTTGTGTCTTGCATTAGAAAGTCTTTAAAATTGGAAAAAACATTCTGGGTCAGCCTAACTGAAATCAAGAAAATCAAACCTGTTGAGAACTTACGACCGTCCAAATATTGCAAATTGATGTTCAATCTTGCCTCCAAACAAGAAAGATACATAGTGAGAGGAGGCTACACACTCAGAACTTTTTCTATCCAAAGAATAGTGCACTTGTGGATGTGGTTTCCATATTTTACATGTATGAATATTTTGGTTACGATTGTAGATGTGTCTTGTAAACAGAATAAAGAACTAATTTATCGCTTGAAATAACATAATAAACTTTTAGAGAGTGTCATTTATCAGTTTTGAGTTTAAGTTAAAGCAAAACATTTCTTGTTATTCAAAAACAAGTGGGCTTTTCACAGTAATCCTTAGATGCTTTCATTAAGTTAGCAATAGTAGGCTCTTTCTATTTATTCTATTTCTATTTAGTAAATTCATTTCTGGTTTCAAAGAGATTTAAAAAAACTACATAGGTTCACTCACAAAGGAAAGAAACTATGTAAAAAAAAAAGACTTCAGTATACAGCTGTTTGTGTTAAGAATTGTTGCAGTGCAAAGTGAAAAGTGCCAGGCATTAATTAGCCAATTGAAAGAACGTTATTCCTTATCAAAAATGCCCCTTTCACCCCAAACATATATTGCTTATAATTAATACTTTTCTTGATAGAGAGTTAAGATTATTTTGTATCAAAAAATGTACATATTTACATGTAATGCTATGAAATAGCTTTAAGATACTTATTACAGGTGTACTGATAATAAACAACAATGATTAGTCTCTTGCTGGGTTTAAGTAACACTACCATCTAAACCCTTGGCCAAATTCATCCTTAGAAAAGCATGGAAAGAGCACATTTACAAATAAAATTCCTTAGTTTAAGGTTAGCCAAAGCTGACCTTGAGATTGTCTTCAACCGTCTAAATCAATGCAGTGGGTTTTTCTAACTTAGAAATTGAAACACAGGGAGGCCTACTCTGGGACATTGCATTATTAATTTTTGGGCTACTTTGGGCGACCTAAGAAAAATTGACAGCGATTTTATTCGACTCAAGTGTTAAACTGAGTGGAATGCAATTTGGGCTGAAACACCACTTTCTTACATCCATTTTGAAATCGCCCAAATACAGTACTTGGTCAGTTCAAATATTTTATTGATGCAGTACTGAGCCAGTCTGAAATTAAATTCATCCATTTTTTTTTTGGGGGGGGGGGGAAGAGTTTTGGAAACAAAAGTTGCAAAATTTGGCATGGTACTCTTTCATTTTCCTGCAATTTGATTGGTTACTTTAAACAAGCCTTGAAATCTGATTGGCTGTTTTGTTTTTACAGTAGCCTCCTCATTGGCTGGGAAAAAGATGTGATTTAAAGAAAAAATTGATGTGATTCATGAATAAATTCCATCAATTAGAGCCAATCAAATAACAGGGACCACCAGTGATTTCAAAATGGGTGTAATAAATGGAATAATCATTTTGGTAACTTTAGTATCCACACAAGTCACCATTGTCTAAAATATCCAGATTTCAAACCATTTTAACTAAAAATGCTTAGTCAGAATTACCACAATAGTTACTGTTTAATTACATATATGTATAAATAGTCAAAGCTAGTGTATAAATAACCAAGAAAAATCATGGGTTACTTGCTTAGTGTAATAATATCAAAACAGAAACCAATATTAAACAAACCTATAAAAAAGAGGCACATGGCGAGATAAATTTTAAATTTAAGAAAAGAGCCATGATTTACATAAAACTCACCTACTGACAATAAATTTTCCACATAATTATCGACAAAACTTACTTAAGATTATTTACACGTATTAACTATTTCATAAAGCTTCACTAGTATGAAAATACTCAAATTGTCTCCCATTTTTGGGAACCAATTTGATGTTGTCCTGCCTCAGTATGACAAAACACCCCAATGCCATATTGAAAACCATACGCTAAGGTCCTTCGTAAGAAGCCTTCCTTTCCAGTCTCAACAACTACTTTTCCTGGCTGCAGAAAAATATTGGCGTCCCATAATAGAGAATCAAATCTTTTTAGAATATCTTTTTACTATATCACCGTTTGTCGGATCACTAGGACCTTCCAAGCATTCACTTTTTTCCACTCCGCAACGTTCAACCAAATAAAAATGAAATAAAATTTATTTTTGAGCTGATATAGCAGTATAACAGGTTTTAAAAGCATTCGTTGTTACCTAATTGACGAGTCACAAAGAAAAACTATAAACTGATAACAGGTTCACTTGTCTCCGCCATGTTGAATCTCCCAGTAACCTTTGTGCCAACTAGTTTCCATGTTTATCGTCTTTGATAACTGGAAGAAACACAAGAAGGCCAAACGAATTGAGGAAAATGATCGTTCAATCACACACGAACTGATTTCAATTAAAACCGTTTACTCGTACACACAAAACTGATGGTTTATGTACACACGAAATATCCTTCTACATCATTTAGCCAACACGAAACATCCTAATCCAATATTGGCCTGGAAGCCATGTTTGCAGCAAAGAGGTTTCTCGGCATAGATCATTGACGGGGCTCATACATGTATGTGAATCATCAAACTGACGAAGGTAAAATGTACGAAAAGACTGTCAAAATCTTAAGATAGATGAAGATTTATGCCTTTAGTGGGTTCGTCGAGTTACAAATTTCAAACGTTTATATTTTGTCGAATACGATGGTGGAAGAAGCTACAGTGCAGATTTGCGGGTTTATGCTGGAAAAATAGCCCACTTTTGTCACTCTTTTACTCTGGGTAAGTAAAGTGTCTAAACGTAAGCTTCATTTCAGCTCAATTTACTTCGGACTATGTTATTTTTATTGCTCAATGTAAGAAAGAGTAGCAAGAATTGTGCCTTCCTCCAGAATACCTTTCTATTTTGTTTTATGTTGATGATCGGAACTGTAGGTTTGATTTGATTCAGTAACATCTCAAAAGAAGAATAAATAAATTATTGCAGCCACAGTCGTTTGTTGTCTTTTTTCCTGAGATCAATCATATTTTTAATATTTATTATTTCCTCATGATGATACACAGTGGCAATCTTTTGATCCCTCAAAATGAAATACAAAACAGAAATTTGGTTTAAACAGATGGTTGTCTGAGTAAGAAAAAGGAAGAGAGTACATTGTCATAATTAGTTCATATATCAGTATTGTCTACAAGTAGGAGTTACTCATGCTATCATAGGTGCTAGGCAGGTGCATGACTCTTATAACAGGAGGTTTACATGTATAAATATGGAAGCCATTACCAACCTCATATTGACTTGCAGTCCAATGCAGGGTTATTCCCCACCAACTACTACCCATATTTACATCTGGAAGAGATGAGACACTTTGAGAGTTAATATTGTGCCTAAGAACCCAATGCAATGATCCCCACCAGGGACCAAAACAGGACTGCTTGATCTAGAGTCCAGTGCACTAACCATTTGGCCACCATGCCTCCTTCTCTGATCCTTATGATTAGGATGGAGCCCATATAACATTGTGTAACCAATAGTCACTTTAGGCAACTTTAGATGACTTAAGGCAATTTAATGTGACTTAAGGTCCCAGAGTAGTCTTAGAGGGTTTGTGTGGAAGGGAAAGCGTGATGCCCCTCTCCATTCTTGCCTTCTACCAAGGATATTGATAATATGGTTACTTTCTGCTGACTGCCTTGTGTAGATAGTTTGGAATTTCTTACTTTCTCATGATAGACTACTTAAACATCTATAGGTTTTCATGGTAAATTTTCAGTTAATCAAGATGTTGAAAAATTCCTTTGCCGTGTTCAATTAGAAGCCTTTTTCCATGACAAAGAGGATGATTCTAAGGTCTTGAACAAAGATACTTTCTTTGGTGTGGTATTCTCTCATGTTAGCAGAAAAGAAATTTCCTCGAAGATGGAATTGTGGCAATATGTTAACAAGAAAGACAACAGCAAATTTCATTGATCTTAAAGAAACGATTCATTTACAAAGACTTTCACTGGTTCACTATGAGAAAATTCAAACATTGAAGTCATTTGACAAGGCTTGGGTATTTTTTTAAATTGTGTATTTGGGTAATTGTTAAAACTCAAGTTATGCATTGAATGCACAGGGTTGTCTTCCATTTTTGCACTAATGCTGTAACAAGCTGAAAAATCTTTGAAATATGTTTCAACCCAACCATTTTCCATAACTTCTAAACACCATTATGAAATAATTATGTGGGGAAATGGAAAATTTGTGGCATATACTTCATGTCTGAAATGTCATGTTCAGTATCAGCTATCAGGATACAGGAAGGTGTACATGTGGGAATAAGCTTGGTTGTTTGTGTCATTAATGTGCTTTTCCTCCTTTTAATCAGGTTGATCTGTCAGGGCAAGGGCTGAGGATTTTAGCAGGCCAGCAGATTTAGGGAAATGTTCATGAGGAAAGTAACTTTAATTTTAAGCCTGGAAACTATCATTGTGAAAAGCCCATACTTGTGCTTGGTAATTCATTCCTATTCTGATAAGCTAGATTTAGGAAGGACACCATTTCACGACATAAATTTGACATATATGCTGTGCACAACACTTCCATTTGACTATACTTTTATATTAGCCAATACCAATCCCTAAGTGTCAATAGGGTCAGGAAAAAAATGAATGTACCATAACTTTGTAATCTTGATTTCATGTTAAAAAAAAAAAATTATAAAGACCTGTTGATAACTGATACAAGGAGAAAAAGAATATATCAAATTTGGTTGAAAAATCATAATCAGCGGTAGGCCAGATAAAGAAAGATTCTTAGAATAAGAAATGTGTACAAATGTAAAAGCTAAGCAAAACTGTTTGAAACACCTGCCTGTAAGTGTGCACCATGTAGTATAGTCATTCCAAGAGGTCACAATCCAGGTAAGATAAGAAGGCAGCCTGGTTTATGGAGGGATCCCTTTAATCCCATCTGGGATCTCAGGTGGGAATGGTGGGCTCCCACCAGCACAGGTGGGATTTACAGGATCCCGCCTTAAAATTAAGGCATGATCCCACCTGGGACATTCCAAAATCCAAATTGGGATCTCAAGTGGGAAATTTTGGGACCCCACTGGGGATCCCATCTGGGACAGACCAGGGATCCCAGCTCCTGTTTTTACCTAGGTACACATGCAGATTTCTTATAAACATGTAATGTAAGCCTGTCATTACTACAAAACTTTGATGCACACCCCAAAAGGTGAACACATAGACTTTGAGTTTCTATTGAGTCAGTTTAGGTTAGTCAGGTTAAGTTGAGTTAAACTTTCTTGATAATGATGCAATCAGGACAATTTTACAACTTATTTATAAATGTTAGCCTAGCTGGAGAATTGGTAGTGAACCACAGCCCTAGGTCTGGCATAAATTTTGATCTTCAGAAGGTGCTTTAAAAATAGCAATTTGCTTATGCACAAAGGAACTTAATCCACTGTAAGAGGGTAGGCTTTCCTTTCTTCATGTAAAAAAATGCAGTGGTTACAGTCTTTCCACAAGCTCAATGAACAGTGAGAGCCAGCAAGACTGATAATGACTATGTTATTTGTGTAAATATCAAGAGGAGGATAAAAAGTAGGATACGGTTTGCAAAACTCTCATATTTGAAAAGTTTAACCCATAAAGCTAAGGCACTTATATTCTTGCCTTGTGTATCACATGGATGCCAATTATACAAAAAAAGTTGCTCTTCATCTGTGTGCCCCAAACATAACAGGGGAACATGAATTTCAATTATAAGAAGGTATCCTTTAATTTCATTCCCAGATATAATCAAAGGAGGATCCTTGCTTTTCCAGATTCCCACCTGTTAAAACTGACATAATATTATAAATTATCTTGTGACCAATTTCTTATATCAATGGTTAGTTTGCGTATGAGCATTATTGTAAGAACACCATGCACTATTGAAAGCTTGCTAAGCCTGATTATTTAATGACATCCAAATAACATTACATGCTACAATGTGGTTACTACAACAAAATTATATAATCACGCAATTC